TTCGGAGCATAACTTAAGTTCTATTTTGACCCACAATGTTCAAACTTCAATAGGATGATTGTCCATATTGGGTAGAAGACCCCTATTGATTTTGGGGTCAAAAGGTCAAGGTCACTATTACCTTGATACTGAAAACAGTTTCCGTCCGTTAGCAATTTGTCCGTTAGCAATTTGGTTTCCGGAGCAATAACTTAAGTTCCGTTTGGCCCACAATGTTCAAACTTCATAGGAGGATTGTCCATATTGGGTAGAAGACCCCTATTGATTTTGGGGTCAAAAGGTCCAAAGGTCAAGGTCACTATTGCCTTAAAACTAAAAAAGTTTCCGGAGCATAACTTAAGTTCCATTTGACCCACAATGTTCAAAACTTCATAGGATGATTGTCCATATTGGGTACAAGACCCCTATTGATTTTGGGGTCAAAAGGTCAAAGGTCAAGGTCACTATTACCTTGATACTGAAAACAGTTTTCTGTCCGTTAGCAATTTGTCCGTTAGCAATTTGGTTTCGCGGAGGCATAACTTAAGTTCCATTTGGCCCACAATGTTCAGGACTTTCATAGGATGATTGTCCATATTGGGTAGAAGACCCTATTGATTTTGGGGTCAAAAGGGCAAAGGTCAAGGTCACTTTTTACCTTGATACTGAAAACAGTTCCGAAGCATAAGTTAAGTTCCATTTGACCAACAATGTTCAAACTTGCGTCTGTCCGTCCGTCCCGTTCTCTGTTAGCAATTTTGTTTCCGGAGCATAACTTAAGTTCCATTTGACCCCACCATGTACAAATGTTCAAACTTCATAGGATGATTGTCCATATTGGGTAGAAGATCCCTATTGATTTTGGGGTCAAAAGGTCAAAGGTCAAGGTCACTATTACCTTGATACTGAAAACAGTTTCTGTCCGTTAGCAATTTGTCCGTTAGCAATTTGGTTTCCGGAGCATAACTTAAGTTCCATTTGGCCCACAATGTTCATAAACTTCATAGGATGATTGTCCATATTAGGTAGAAGATCCCTATTGATTTTGGGGTCAAAAGGTCAAAGGTCAAGGTCACTATTACCTTGATACTGAAAACAGTTTCCGTCCGTTAGCAATTTGGTTTCCGGAGCATAACTTAAGTTCCATTTGGCCCACAAAGTTCAAACTTCATTTTAGGATGATTGTCCATGTTGGGTAGAAGAAGTTCCCCTATTGATTTTGGGGTCAAAAAGGTCAAAGGTCAAGGTCACTATTACCTTAAAAACTGAAAACAGTTTCCGGAGCATAACTTAAGTTCTATTTGACCCACAATGTTCAAACTTCATAGGATGATTTGTCCATATTGGGTAGAAGACCCTATTGATTTTGGGGTCAAAAGGTCAAGGTCACTATTACCTTTGATACTGAAAACAGTTTTTCCGTCCGTTAGCAATTTGTCCGTTAGCAATTTTGTTTCCAGAGCATAACTTGAGTTCGTTTGGCCCACAATGTTCAAACTTCATAGGAGGATTGTCCATATTGGGGTAGAAGACCCCTATTGATTTTTGGGGTCAAAAGGTCAAAGGTCAAGGTCACTATTACCTTAAAAACTAAAAACAGTTTCCGGAGCATAACTTAAGTTCCATTTGACCCACAATGTTCAAACTTCATAGGATGATTGGTCCATAATTGGGTACAAGACCCCTAATTGATTTTGGGGTCAAAAGGTCAAAGGTCAAGGTCACTATTACCTTGATACTGAAAACAGTTTCTGTCCGTTAGCAATTTGTCCGTTAGCAATTTGGTTTCCGGAGCATAACTTAAGTTCCATTTGGCCCACAATGTTCAAACTTCATAGGATGATTGTCCATATTGGGTAGAAGACCCCTATTGATTTTGGGGTCAAAAGGGCAAAGGTCAAGGTCACTTTTACCTTGATACTGAAAACAGTTTCCGAAGCATAAGTTAAGTTCCATTTGACCAACAATGTTCAAACTTGCGTCTGTCCGTCCGTCCGTCCGTCTGTTAGCAATTTTGTTTCCGGAGCATAACTTAAGTTCCATTTGACCCACAATGTTCAAACTTCATAGGATGATTGTCCATATTGGGTAGAAGATCCCTATTGATTTTGGGGTCAAAAGGTCAAAGGTCAATGTCACTATAACCTTGATACTGAAAACAGTTTCTGTCCGTTAGCAATTTGTCCGTTAGCAATTTGGGTTTCCGGAGCATAACTTAAGTTCCATTTGGCCCACAATGTTCAAACTTCATAGGATGATTGTCCATATTAGGTAGAAGATCCCTATTGATTTTGGGGTCAAAAGGTCAAAGGTCAAGGTCACTATTACCTTGATACTGAAAACAGTTTCCGTCCGTTAGCAATTTGGTTTCCGGAGCATAACTTAAGTTCCATTTGGCCCACAAAGTTAAAACTTCATAGGATGATTGTCCATGTTGGGTAGAAGACCCCTATTGATTTTGGGGTCAAAAGGTCAAAGGTCAAGGTCACTATTACCTTAAAACTGAAAACAGTTTCCGGAGCATAACTTAAGTTCTATTTGACCCACAATGTTCAAACTTCAATAGGATGATTGTCCATATTGGGTTAGAAGACCCCTATTGATTTTGGGGTCAAATGGTCAAGGTCACTATTACCTTGATACTGAAAACAGTTTCCGTCCGTTAGCAATTTGTCCGTTAGCAATTTTGTTTTCCGGAGCATAACTTAAGTTCCGTTTGGCCCACAATGTTCAAACTTCATAGGAGGATTGTCCATATTGGGTAGAAGACCCCTATTGATTTTTTGGGGTCAAAAAAGGTCAAAAGGTCAAGGTCACTATTACCTTAAACTAAAAACAGTTTTCCGGAGCATAACTTAAGTTCCATTTGACCCACAATGTTCAAACTTCATAGGATGATTGTCCATATTGGGTACAAAGACCCCTATTGATTTTGGGGTCAAAAGGTCAAAAGGTCAAGGTCACTATTACATTGATACTGAAAACAGTTTCTGTCCGTTAGCAATTTGTCCGTTAGCAATTTTGGTTTCCGGAGCATAACTTAAGTTCCATTTGGCCCACAATGTTCAAACTTCATAGGATGATTGTCCATATTGGGTAGAAGACCCCTATTGATTTTGGGGTCAAAAGGGCAAAAGGTCAAGGTCACTTTTACCTTGATACTGAAAACAGTTTCCGAGCATAACTTAAGTTCCATTTGACCAACAATGTTGTTCAAACTTCATTGGATGAATTGTCCATATTGGGTGGAAGACCCTATTGATTTTGGGGTCAAAATGTCAAAGGGTCACCTTAAAAAATTGAAAAACAGTTTCCGGAGCATAACTGAAGTTCCATTTGGCCCACAATATTCAAAACTCCTTAGGATGATTGTCTCCATGTAAGGTAGAAGACCCCTATTGATTTTAGGGTCACAAGGTCAAAGGTTAAGGTCATTATTAATAACTTAAGTATTAATCAACCTACATCTGTAAAATTTTATAGGATGAACAGCTAATTCCCATGTCTTACAAGTGCTTCATCCTTACTAAAAAAAAAACACTTTCGGGCATATAATGCTCCGCCTAGCGGTGCTCTTGTTTGTTATTGTAGTCCAGACTTGAACATAAATATTCTATCTTAAAAGTTCACCTGAGTACATGTTTTAAAAAGTAGTGGCCAGATGTCTGTCATGTGTGATCATTTGTGTGTCTTAACCCACAGTGACCGAAAACAACATGCCCTCCATAGATTTAATAACAAACTTCAACTGGAATGCAGGGCTTTTTTTCATAGGTTGGGGAAGCAGCCTGCCCTTAATTTTGGGGAAAAATAACACGGTATATTTGCAAAAGGGGAAGAAAAAAACTTGATGTGACTTAAATTTTTGGGGAAAACTGCATGATTTTAAAGAATTTTTCTTTGGGGAAGCAGCCCCAATAACAGCCCCTGCCTATAGAAGGGAAAAAAAAACCTGGAATGATTCTTGGCATGTCTTCTGACAGAGTGCTAGAAAAGTTGTGCATTAAACATTGTAAAATATGCTTTAAGATTCAACTATGGTCATATCAATACCCTTAATAAAATATTGGATAGGCATTCAGTTCAATTAAATGTGTGTTACTGGTCAGTAACAAACCTTTTATATTTCCCCACTATTTACATTTTGAACAATCTTTTTTTTATTTTTGCAAGTTCAGATAGTTATACTTTCTTGTATGATAGAACTTAATGCATAATCAATTTAAGATGTACTGGTATTTGTGAAAAATCACTAATTTCTTTTTCTCTTGTGAAATTATTTAGAATTGCAAATAAACATACTATCAAAATTCTCCTGGTATTTTTTCTTGAATGTTTTCTGCAGGGCTCCAGATAAGATGCGTATACGCGTAAATTACGCATGGAAATAACCCATTTACGCATTCAAAACAAAATTTAAGCGTATGAAAACGCACACAAAATTCAGGTTACGCATTGAGCAACATTTCTTTCGCGTAAACGTAACCGAAAATAAACTCGGTGATTATTTTATTTTCAATTTCGTCTGAATGTTTTGCGACGTCTAACGGTTACTTCCTGTACTTCGGTTGTTAGCGTATGTATAGTAAGGTGGTGGAATTAACCGGTACAATGTCGCTGTCTAAAGTTAAAACGATCGACTCGTATTTTCAGCCGAAAAAAATCGACCCAAAAGTAATTGTGACGTTTATAATTAATGAAATAATTAGCGCTGCCACGTACGAGCAACAGAAACATGCCTCAGGTTCAGATAAAACGTATGCCGTTTGGAAATGCAAGATTATAAACCAAGAGAGTCCAAAAAGCAAAAGAAATGACTTTGACATATCTTGTATTACACGTATAATAATACAATAAACATGGAAGCATAATAAATCTTTTACTCTTTTACATACATTTTAAGGAGTAAAAATACTCCTGTCAAATTTCAGATTTCAAGTTTTACTCATTCACAAAAACATCAATGAGTAAATTCTAAATACTCATTGCCCTAAAAAATTATCTGGAGCCCTGTTTCTGTATTGTTTTTTTTTGTTCTAGATTCTGGAGATGTGTGCAGCCCCAGGTTACCAGACCACACAGATCTTGGAACAAGTCTTAAACAGCCCTAAAAAGATACCTGGTAAATTATTTGTGTTGTATTTTGAGTAGTTGTGAGCAAAAGCTGTTAATTTTTGTGTATATATTATATTATAGGGATTTGCATTTACTTGTAAGGGCCACAACTTAAGAATGTCTCCATCATGTAAATGCATGATGCCATTTTGAGTAGTAGAATAATCAAGTACAATTTACCGTAAAAAAATCAAAAGTCCTTCTATATATTTGAGGCATTATGCACTTTTTTTTGGCTGCAAAGATAATTTCTGATATAGTTGTGTGACAGGTGTTAATTACACAGCCGTGTGTTCTAACGGCCTTTGTAAGCATTCAAATGTGTGATAAAATACTCTTGTTACCATTCAAATTGCCGTAGTGGTATTTGAAATTAAACAGTACGAATAAGTTTCATTTGAGAATTCCATGACCCAGTGTAGTGTGATAATCATATGGAATATATTTACTAAAAGCTGGTTAAGTTATCGCCCTTTCCTTTTGTTACGCCTTTTATGACTCGCTTGAAAACACCAACAACTCCAAATTTTGTCATTAAATTGGTATTGAGGTCCTGATGTGTCAAAAAATTTTATTGCAAATCACTGCAACTTTCACTTACCAAAGTTCTACTGTATGTGATTTGTTCATTTTAATTTCATTTTAATCCACTGTTGTTATCATTATTTATGTATTGTTCTTTCAGATGGCTTTGTTGTGGCCAATGATATAGATTTTAGGATTAACTACAGATGGTCACAAGGAACCAATGTTTTTTTCACACATGAAGATGCAAAGAAATTTCCTGACTTGTATACAACAGAAGAGGTATGCTTCCTTCAAAAAATCTTAGTACATGTGTTATTATTTCTGAATTTCAAAATTTCTGGAACGCTCAAAACTCTTTTCTACATAACAGTGTACAAACACAGTAATGCTTAATACAGGATTTTAGGATTGTTTTTAAACTTTCATCTCGGATACTTTTCATCCCAAATGGTATCTTGTAGAAAAAAAAGACATGTGTTATAATCAATGTTCAAGTCCAGAAAAACAAACTACAACTGTAGAATGTTTTTGCATAATGACTGCCAGGCATAGAATAGACTTGAGAGAACAGAAACCAGATGTCTTAGTTAGGACTTCTCTGTCCTTAATCTAGACAGAGAGGAGGTTAACTTTTATATATGCTGTAATTTATTGTGTCGCCTTCAAAAAGGCGTCATATAGGGGTTACTTTTGACGGCGGTGTCGGCGTCTCCGTCCCCTTTAGCTTGTCCGGAGCATGAGTCAGTCATTATAAGTCAGATTGACTTCAAACTTGGTATGCATGCTTTTTATAATGACTCGAAGTGCAGTGCATAAGAACTGGTACTCTTCATTTTATATTTTTTTGAGTTACTGCCCTTTGTTAATTTTCATACTTTATTATTGTCCAGGCCATTTCTCCAAAGTATAAAAGCTATGGACATGAAACTTCATAGGATGATAGATCTCATTAAGAAGAAGTGCAGTACCCAAGAACTGGTACTCTGCATTTCTTATTTTTTGAGTTATTGCCCTTTGTTAATTTTCATACTTTTTTTTGTCCAGGCCATTTCTCATAAATTATAAAAGCTTTAGACTTGAAACTCAATAGGATGATAGATCTTATTGATAAGAAGTGCAGTGCTCAGAAACTGCTGCTCTGCATTTCTTCTTTTTTTTGAGTTATTGCCCTTTGTTGATTTTTAGTCCCCTACCGGTTTACCGGAGGGGACTTTAGGTTTACCCTCCGTCCGTCTGTCTGTCTGTCCGTCAGTCCGTCCGAGCCAACATTTGATTATTATGAGCTTCATTCCGTAGTTAAATAAAGAACATAAACTCATAAAATTTAAAATTAAGAGCTATTTTTTGTTTTTATGAGCTTATTTTGCTTATGGACGTTGGTCCAGGTGGTGTTTATGAGCTCAATTGCCTCATAAACATCAAATTTTGGTACGTCCGTCTGTCCGTCCGTCAGTCCGTCCGTCCACAAAACTTGGATCCCGCGATAACGCAAAAAAGTACTGAAAATATTTTTATAATGAAACTTGAATTATATGGATAGAAATGGCAAAAATTATGCACGTCTTTTTTCTTTTCTTCCTATGTTAAAAAATTCTGGTTGTTATGGCAACAAATAGACTGAAAAATATGGCAAATTTTACACATAAACCTGATCCCGCAATAACGCAAAAAGCACTGAAAAATATTTTATGAAACTTTTGAATATGGATACCGATGGCAGTATTTGGAGACTTATGCACGTCTTTTTCTTTCCTTCCTATGTTGAAAATTCTGCGTTGCTTGGCAACAAATAGACTGAAAATATTGATCTTCGCGTGCAAAAATTATTAGATATCTATATTAAACTCCTCGATACCACTAGTTTGCATAACACAAAAAGTACTGAAAATATGTTTATGAAACTTGACATATGGTTTGTAGAAGATGGCAGTATATCTCTAAATTATGCACATGTCTTTTCTTATCTTCCACATTCTGTTGAAAATTCTGGTTGCTCTCTATGGCAACAAATAGACTGAATATTTCAAGATTTCTCTATTCTAATTTTTAAAATTTTTTCACTATAAAAGTTCTTCTATTCTTAAGGTATTTCTTCAAACTTTAAAATTATAAATTGCTTGTCATCAACCATATCATATGTGACAAGGTTTACAACTCTAGGCACAAAATTTTATCAGAATTACCTCCTTTTGAACTTAAAATTTTCATGAAAAAAAAACATTGTTTTTTTAATAACTTCTTTTTCTGAATGTATCTACTTCAAACTTCATATAAATGTTTCTTACTATCACTCAACATTTGTGAGTGTTCAATACTCTAGCAAGACTATTTCCAGAATTATGCCCCTTTTGAACTTAGACTTTTTTTTGAGAAATTGGTAATTTTTACTCCAACTTCTTCAATCATGATAGGATTTTAAAAATGTTATATTTTGATAACAGGGATGTTTAAAAAATAACTTTAGAGTGTCCTTCAGTCCGTCTGTCTGTACATAAAAACTGTTTGCTGTGATCACTTTTAAAGAACTTTTTCAACAAATTTACTTAAAATAGGAACCTAAGTGAATGGCCAATGGTCCTTCAGAATGTTGCTTGGGCTCTTACCGGTAGGGGACTTATGGATTGCTTGCAATACTATGATAATTGCTTGTCAAATTTCATTTTTGTCCTGGCCATTTCTCCTAAACTATATTGTTAACAAGGCGACACATCCCACAAGCGGAGTTCTAGTCTTGGTTCAAGCTACACCTTGATATTTGAGCCGCGTCACGACAAAACCAACTTAATGCATTTGTGACCAGCCTGCGCATCCGGGCAGTCTGATCAGTGCTCATGTTGTTTGCTATCAGTTTCTCTACTTGTAATAGGATTTGTAAGCGAACAGCATGGATCCTGATCAAACTGCGCAGATGCACATGCTGGTCTGGATCCATGCTGGTCGCAAATGCATTACGCTGGTTTTGTTGGGGAAAGTGCTCAAATTTTTTTTATTGTTTTAAAAATGACCAGGAAGAAAAAATCTCTTTAACGCGAAATTCTTTGATGAAACCATCAAGGTGTGTAACTTTATTATAAAAAAAATACATGTTGTTGGGGGAGAAAACATTTTAACATCTTGATTATTTACAGAAAATGATATTTGGTTTTTTTAAAAAAAAATTAAATTGTCAAGTTGATGTTTTAAAAAAATATCCCAGTTATTTACATGTAAATTTTTTAGAATTGTATAAAGATTTTTATAATAAAGTTATAACTTTTTGGCCCTGATTGTTGTTTGATTGGATATAGTTTTACTGATTTTTTTTAAATTTTTAAAAACAGCCATTCGGGTTTTTGGTTATCTTTTGAAAAAAAAAACCCAAAAATAGGGGGCCCAAAGTCACTTTGGCCACCTATTTAGAATTAAATTTTGGAAAAAAAAGTTTTGGGGCTTAAAATTTATTTTAAAAAGATTGAAAAAAAGGTTTTTTAAATATTTTAACGGATGATTTTTTCACCTAAACTGCCTTTCGATAAATTTTTTTTGAAAAAACCTTTTCTGAACTTTTTTTCCCCTTTTGTTGTTTTTTATTTAAACCTTTGTTAAAAAAATTGCGGGGTTTTAATTTTGTCACTGGTTTTCTATAATTCAGTGGGGGAGGGATTATGAAACTTTAAGAAGTAAAGGGGAACTTTTCCCCAAAGGCTAAAAAAAACCCAAAGCTGAAACCCCCTGCAAAAAGGGGAAATTTTAAATTTAAAATGGGGAAAAAATTAATTTGTGCCTTGTAGAAATTTTTAAAAGAAAAAAAATGAAAGGGCAAACCCCCCAAAGGGGATATGTTAAACTTTGGATTTTAAAAGTTTAAATTTTTTCCCTTTTAGATAGAAAAAAAAAATCCCCAAAAAGTTGCTTTATATTTTTTTATAAATTGGACTAAAAACCCCTTTTTAAAAAACCTTTTTGAAATTGATTCAAAAGGGTCTGGCTTTACATTAAAGTTGACAGAATATATAAAATTTTCACAAAACTTAAATTGAATGAAATTTTGTTGTCATTTGTAAGATCTAAAGAAAAATTTTTAAACCCGGGGACTTGATTTTGGGTTTTTGGAAATGGACAGCAAATTTGTAAAACACCACACTCAAACCCAAAATTAAAAAATGACCGTAGTGGCGTTTTGTAAAAAAGCCCCAAAGTTTTCTTATTTTTTTTTGCACCCTTTTTAATTTTTAATAATAAAAAAATCTTTTCTTCCCAGGGAAGAAAATACAGAAAAAAAGGGGGAATAAGGGGATAAGTACCTCCGATTGGGTTTAAAAAAAATGCTTACAATAAAAAGGCAATCGCGACATTTCAGTTTTTGGGGGAAAGGGAAAACCCTTAAATTCCCCTTTTCCTGAAATTTTTATTTGGCCCTTGAATTGCCACCTAATTAAAGCCCAGAAAACCCCGAAATTCTGAACCCTACGGGAAAAACTTCCTCTCCCACATAAAAGGCTTTCAAAAAGAGCCCCATTCAATTAAACCCACAGGGTGTGTAAAGGGTTTTTGTACATATTTAAAAAGGGCACATTTTTCCAGTAACAGTGGACTTTTACATCAATTGGGGAGATAAAAAAGTTGAAAAACCCTTTTTAAAAATTTTTTTAAAGGGAAAATTTAAATAAAATTTTAATCCAGGTCAATATCATGAAAAGAAATGCAAAAAATAAAAGAAGGGGTTAAAAAACAAGATAAAAATTAAGTAGGGGGATTGAAAATATTAAAATTTTGGTTAAATAATTGTGAAATTTTGTTTTATTTTGAATTTTTCATTTCAATTTTTTTGCTAAGTAAAAAGTTTTTGGCATTAATGAAAAATAAAATTTCAACCAAATGACCCAAAAAATTTTTTTTGATCCTTTTCCCCCAATCAAAAATTGTTTTTTTAAGTGCCTTAAATATCCTGTTTTTTTATTTAAAAAATTTGGGATAGTAGAAAATTTACCACAATATTTCTAGGGGAAGATTTCCTAGAAATTTTGTAAAAACAGAAATTGAGATATCTTTCACATTTTTTTAAAAAAAGTTAAACCCCCAGCGGAACTACGGGTTTTTTTTCCACAGGTTTGGGGAAGGGGAAAACCAGCCCCTTCACCTTTGAAAAAATGATATGGAAAATTTTTGAAAAAAAGGGGAAGAAAAAAATATTTCAGGGCGGGTTTTCCCAAAAACTGCATGATCGTCAAGTTTTTTAAAAAATTTTTTTTTTTTCCTTTTTTGGGCCACTTTTAAAGGGGGCCCCTGCTAAAAAGGGAAAAAAAGCATTTCTTTTAAAAGCTTTTTTTAAATCTTTTTTCATTTAATTTAAAATTTTTTGTGAAATTATCAATAGTAATAATTTAAATGTTAGTTTTTAATTTTAAAAGCGGGAAAAAACGGTTGAT